CCCTTGACAACATACAAATTTACGACTTTGCTTAAAAATCATCTCGTCTCTCAATATTAACCAAAACAACCAAAACAATTTCTAATCGGTTTGAAGCAACTCTCCCAAACACAGTGGACCCCCGGTTAACGATATTTTTTCATTCCAGAAGTATGTTCAGGTGCCAGTACTGACTGAATTTGTTCCCATAAGGAATATTGTGAAGTAGATTAGTCCATTTCAGACCCCCAAACATACACGTACAAACGCGCTTACATAAATGCACTTACATAATTGGTCGCATTGGGAAGTGATCGTTAAGCGGGGGTCCACTGTATTATATTATACGACCTCTAGTCTATTAAACATCTGCCTATCCATGAAATATTACTGTTTGAAGGGAAATGTATGAAAGTATAGTAGTACCAACACTCTTATATGGGTGTGAAGCTTGGGTGGTAAATGCAGCAGCGAGGAGACGGTTGGAGGCAGTGGAGATGTCCTGTTTAAGGGCAATGTGTGGTGTAAATATTATGCAGAAAATTCGGAGTGTGGAAATTAGGAGAAGGTGTGGAGTTAATAAAAGTATTAGTCAGAGGGCAGAAGAGGGGTTGTTGAGGTGGTTTGGTCATTTAGAGAGAATGGATCAAAGTAGAATGACATGGAAAGCATATAAATCTATAGGGGAAGGAAGGCGGGGTAGGGGTCGTCCTCGAAAGGGTTGGAGAGAGGGGGTAAAGGAGGTTTTGTGGGTAAGGGGCTTGGACTTCCAGCAAGCGTGCGTGAGCGTGTTAGATAGGAGTGAATGGAGACGAATGGTACTTGGGACCTGACGATCTGTTGGAGTGTGAGCAGGGTAATATTTAGTGAAGGGATTCAGGGAAACCGGTTATTTTCATATAGCTGGACTTGAGTCCTGGAAATGGGAAGTACAATGCCTGCACTTTAAAGGAGGGGTTTGGGATATTGGCAGTTTGGAGGGATATGTTGTGTATCTTTATATGTGTATGCTTCTAGACTGTTGTATTCTGAGCACCTCTGCAAAAACAGTGATAATGTGCGAGTGTGGTGAAAGTGTTGAATGATGATGAAAGTATTTTCTTTTTGGGGATTTTCTTTCTTTTTTGGGTCACCCTGCCTCGGTGGGAGACGGCCGACTTGTTGAAAAAAAAAAAAAAAAAAAAAAAAAAAAAATTATTATGTGCAACTTCAAGATTATTGTTCTTATAAACCTCCACCTTTTTTTTTTTTGGGGGGGGAGAAATCAGAATTTTATTTTATTTATTTATAAAATTTAGCGCTTGAGGTTTCTAAACCTGTATTCCTGGAACGCAGGAGGGAGAGAATACATGATTATATACACCTGGAAAATCCTAGAGGGACTAGTACCGAACTTGCACACGAAAATCACTCCTACGAAAGCAAAAAATTTGGGCAGCATGACCATCCCCCCAAAAAAAAGCAGGGTGTCACTACACTTTAAAGAGACCATACAATAAGTTCATGGCCCGAGACTGTTCAACTGCCTCCCACACACTAAGGGGGTTCCCAACAGCCCCCTGGCAGTCTTCAAGCTGGCACGGACAACCCTAAATCATTCCCTGATCCCCGGGGCTGGGGCTCGTCGTGGTTTTGGGCCCACAGCAACAGCCGGGTTGATCAGCGCTGACCCACCAGGGGGCCCTGGTCACAGCCCGGGCTCGGGGGCTTTTGACCCCGAAACTCTCTCCAGGGAAAACTCCAGGTAAATACACACAAAAGGTCAAAAAAAATCAGGTAAGACACATGCCAAACCCCTTATATCATAGCATTAGTTTTAAAGAAAAAAAAAAGTTTTTAAAAAAAAAGTTAACCACTCCATCTTGTCAAATCCTAAGTCTATTATTACAGGATTAGTCTCCCGAAATCCCGGCAGAAGTTTTCTTTCTGTGTATTTAAATTTTCAAAATTGTAATTACACATTGTAACCTTTTGCAAAGAAATAAAATCTTATTCTTATTTTTATTACAAGGAGAGGACAGCAAGTATTATGTATTATGTTTTGTATTTTTTTTAAAAAAAATTTTCCCCTTTTAAATTGAGAAATGTCTAATACACTAAAACCTCTTAATCTAAACAATATTGTATTATTGACATATTGCCAAGAAAGTTTAAATACCATCCTATGTAACTTAAAAAAAAAAAATCAACATGAGGATTACACTCCCCTATCCTCTCTTCTGTTGGGGATCCAATGCATCCTTGTCTCATCAAGTTTCCTGTTAATAAACTATGTTATTTTATACGGGTGGTCATACCTGGTGCCAGCTTTTTTTGAATAGTAAGCTAGCTTTAACCTAAAAACAAAGCTAGAAAATTTTAAAAGGGGCCCCATCCATACAGCGGGTACGTTCTGGCTACTGGTTAAAGGGAAAATCATATTTTTTTGCTTTTCAAATCTTTAAAACCCTGATAAATGTTTACACTATCTATTAAGTGAGCAATACAGCAACTTTAAAATGCATATACGTACCACTTTACTTACCTTACAATTTTTTTGTCCTTAGCTTTTTTGGATGGTGAATATATTTATGGGGGGAAGTCTGAATACGAAGAATGATATAACTGAAAACCACCACAAACAAAAGCTGTAAAAAAAAAAGTGTGTAAAGCGGGGCCCTCCTGTACTTTCACCCCCTACATAAATTACCGGCCAATAACTAACAGCATAACAGAAGGTCTACGGGGGACTAACTTCTACCCTTGTGTTTATTTGGGTTAATGGGTTTAAACCTTTGCGCATAGATCATCTTGAGGCTGCATGTCACTTTTCCCCACCACCCAAGAAAATTTTGATCTCTATTTTGGGGATTAAATAATTTAAAATCTCTAAAATGGAATTTAAAGTAAACCTAGGATAAAAGGGCTGCAAACCTCATTCAAAGAGAAGGACCTATGAGTGACAAGGCCTAGATATTGCCTCTCACTAACCAAATAACCTCGCAGCCAAATGTCCCCGGGAAAATCTAAGAGTGGCATTGGGGAATCTAATGAAGTCTTTCCCAGGCACTTCAAAACATATGGAGGCCCACCGGGAAAAGTGCCCCAGTATAAACCCACCCCTAAGAAATCATATTACAACAGCAGAGGTAAAAAGTGAGACCATTTCCCGGGGCAATGGGTATTAGGAGAGGGTAATGGACTGAATCTAATAACTTTAAAGGGAAAAAAAAACCGGAAGAATGACAACAACAAAAAAAAATACTGAAGAGGAATTGAGGTGAAAAGGGGGGAAATAAATACTTGGGGGAAAAGCTTTAAATTTTATGACACAGTAGCCACAGAATATCAGGAAGCATTTCTTCAGTGGGCGGAAAGTGGAATGGGCCCCAAGGAAGAAGTGATGAAGGCGACTCCTTACATAGTTTTCGAGCGGGTATGATTGGGCCCACAAGACCTATCATACCCGCTCGGTTGAAAGGGGGGGCCAGGGGCAAGACTTTACACCTACAATCACATATAGGCAAGTATGTACTATGTGTACACATTTGCACTCCCCCCCCCCCCTCTCCTGTTTTTTGCTCAATCTCAAACTCAAACTCTCTTCTCAATCTCTTCTCAATCTCTCTCAATCTCTCAATCTCTTCCTCTCTCTCTCTCTCTCTCTCTCTCTCCCCCCTTTATTTACATAAGGTTTTCGGGTTTTGGTTATGATTCCCACCTTTTTTTACAAGTTTTGAGCTTTACCTAAATCGCTCATTAAAGCTTTTTAAATGTTTTTGAGACATACAAATACGGAGAAGATGAAATAGAGCCATCGCAGATCATCAATTTCATTTGGTCACTGACTTTATTCACAAAGTTGATATCTATACAAATGTGCTCCAAAACCCGAGCCTCCTAGGGAAAAAATGATCTCAATAAGATTTTTTTTGGATTTTAACCCCGAGGGTTTGCCCCCAGGATAACCCCAAGAAAGCCAGTGGTGCCACTGGGATTTCTGCATATTTTTTATTTGGTCCTTCAATCTTTTCCCCCAGGATGAAACCCACACCGCGACAAAACCCAGGACATACTACAGGGAGCAGGGGAAACAGTGTCAAGGTACAAATTGAAACCCTGGACATCATGTCCATGGTTGCAAGGGCAACTACAAGTACAGTTTAGTTAGTTGCTACTTGCTGTCCATCTATTTTGTAGAAGCTCATTCTACTGCCCCTTTGGGGTGGACTAAGTGTGGTCCTTTAACAGTATTGGCCTTGTACACAAATAAGACCATCCCATCCTTCTAGTGTCGAAGGTCTGCTGAAAGAAAGATCTGTCTAGGTTAGGTTCAGGCAAGATCTAGTCATCTTTCTGGGGTTTTGTCCATTTGTCATAGTGAGGGTGGGGGGGGAGGGGGATTAGTCAATCCTGGAAATGGGCTACAAAGGTTTAGTGCTTGTGGCTTTCCTGCCCCCCCCCCTTCTCTCTCTCTCCTTTTCTCCCCTCCTCTCTCTCCTCTTTCCCACTTTTCCCCCTCTCTCTTTTCATCTCTCTTTCCCTCTCTATCTCTCTTCTGTCTCCCTTCACTTGTTTCTTTCTTTAACTCTCACCCTCTTTGTTTCTTTCTCTCTTTTCCCTTTTTCATCTCCCTCTTTTTTTCCCTCTCCATCAATCTCTTCCTTTCCCTCTCCATCATCTCTTCGTTCCCTTCCTCACTCTCTTTTGTTTCCCCCTTCCCCTCACCCTCTTCGTTTCCCCCTCTCCATCACTCTCTTTGTTTCTTTACATCTCTCTTCATTTCCCTCCCATCATTTTCCCTTTCTCTCAAAGGTTTTTTTCAAAAACTACCCAGTAGAACCACGCTCACCTCTCAGAGTGATTCGGTATAAGGGGTGAGTGTTTTGTCTGGGCACCTTTGTAATGCGTCCCTTTTTAAAGTGTCGCTGCTTTTCCCGGTTTCCGATGGCAGGGTTTTCAATATTGCATAATCCGGGCACCAGAGTCAGCACATGAAGATGGGGGTGCTGAGGAACAGGATTCCACTACTCCTCCTTCCATCAAGTCATCATCGCTGTTGTTCCACTGATCCTCCTTGAGGCCTACAAAAAGATGGAAAAACCCGATAATTGGCACTGAAAGAAATGGAATAAGCATGACAATAGTTTGATACAAAGGGTTTACATTTATTTAAGTCTACATAGTGGGTTTGAAAATTTCCCCAAAGGTTTTTAAAAAGTTTAAGTTTAGGTGCTGTATGTCCCTTTTATTCTATATTTGAATCAAGCTTTAAAAAAACAATGTGCTGATATTAATATGATATTATTTTAGGGTTATAAAAATTGTTTAGTTTATAATTAATAAAATTTGAAAAGAATTTAAGATCCTTTGACACCCACCTACATCATACTGGGAGGGGTTTGTAAAATGTTATATGTGGGTAATATCTCAGCCTTATAAACCTTCTACTGTTCTTTTAATTTTTTACGGGTTTTTGATATAAATGCAAGGAATCAAAACAGCATGGGAAGTTCACTATTTTCACAATGGTTGTTTGCAATATGTAAATGGATAATAAAGTGTAATGAACACTTGTTAATGTTAAAAAAACCCAAACATGGAACAAAAACACAAAAAGTTTAAATTTGATTTGTATATTTTTGTTTCCCTTTCGGGATCCTTTCAGCAGATGCTTTTAGTTTCCCTTCAGCAGATGCAAGGGAGGACCCAAAAGGGGATCAAAATATAAAACTAATTTTTCCTTCTTATTTGTGTGCCCACTGGTTATTACTAGCATAAATGTACAATTTTGGGGGAGCAACGGGCTAGAAACCCCCTTCTCCTGATCGAACAAATTTTAAAAAGAAAAAATTTCATTTCTTTTTCGGTCACCCGCCTCAGGGGGAAATAGAGTGTTAAAAAAAATGTAAATGTTCATTATTTCTAATAATCTTGGGCTTTAGTTTCCCAAAATGCTCTGTAACCTGGGGCTTTCCATTGTTATTAGCCCTTGGAGGTCGACGGCTTTCGGACTTGTTTCAGGGTCGGCCAAATTTTCAAAAAAAAAAATTATTTTCTTATGAAAAATGAATCTTTTCCCGACTAATGACACCAAAAGTATGAAATTTGATGGAAATTTAGGGTTTGCTCTCGCAAATTAGGGGGTCCGACATGTTTACCATCGGAAATTTTTGCCCACTTTGAGCCCTATTTTCACCCAATTCCAGTGTTTTAAGTCAAAAAAAATCATAACTACTTTGCTAAAACTCTTTAGGTTGGTAGACACAACCACCCAGGGGGGTACTACCGTCCTGCCAATGAGGGAAAAACGAAGCTTGATTGTTTTACATGATGGTGGGATGGATGTCTTTTTCTGTCTCATAAATATGCAAGATTACGGGCATGTCTTCTATTCTATTTACACTTAGGTCACACTACACATAATTCACTTTATTTATACACACTCACGATTTTTTTTTTTGATTTTATCTTAATAGTTCTTGGTCTTTTTAATTTTCCTTTTTATCCAGGGGGAAGTGGAATAAAAACTTTCTCCGTAAGCCATGGTGTTGTAAAAGTCAACTAAAATCCCGGAAAAAAGGGGGCTAGAAACCCCCTTTTCCGTAAAGATTACTAAAAAGAATAAGAAGAAGAAAATTGTAAAAGTGGGAAGCCCTGAATGTCGTGGATGTTGTGCAGATGATAAGAAAGAAATGATTTTTTGGATGTTATGAGAGAAGAAGTGGATGTCCTGGTTTAAGTGAAACAAACTGAAGGGGGGGGGAGTTTTCAGTGGAGAGGAAAAAATGGGATTAGGTCGGGGTTTTTTCAAATAGAGTTAAGCTAAAGAAGGATACAATAATTTTGAAGGATAAGCTTGGCAGAAAGAGGGACTATAAATGTTTTAAAATTCAAGGTTTATGTGGATAAAAAAAAGATTGGATTAAAAAGGGGGTTATAATAAGCGTGTAGCCCCGGGAAAAGGGAGAGAAGTGAGGGGAAGAAGAGATTTTGGGAAATGTTGAGTGAATGCGGGGGGAGTTTTGAATCAATGTGAGAGTAATGGGGTTTGGGGGTTTTTTAATGCTAAAGGGGGTAAAAATGTTATGGAGGGAGTAGTAGGAAATTTTTTGGGGTGCCGGGGGTAAATGTAAAGGGGGAAACCTTAATTGAGCTATGTGTAGAAAAAAATTTGGGTAAAAAGTAATAATTTTTTTATGAAAAAGGGGATAAAAAAATTTATACAAGGTATATGTAAAAGTAATGAAAGTATTTATTTTTATGTATTGGGAAAAAGGTTGAGGGGTAGGCTCCGGGATGTACATGTTTATAGGGGGGCAACTAAAATATCGGATATTATTTAGTTGTAGCTACATTAGAGTAAGAGGTAGAGGGGAAAAAGAGGAAGGTGGCAACCAAGTAAGGGGGAAAGTGAAAGTGTATAAACTAAAAAAGGGGGTGAGATATAACGACTATTGGCAAAAGGTGGGCTAGTGCAAAGATGAGAGTGGGGGGGGTTTAAAGGGTTGGAATAGTTTTTAAAAAATGAGTATTAGAATGTGGGGGAAAGTTTTTTGGTTTTAAAGGGGGGTGGGGGGAGGAGGAAAGAGGAGTGATTGGTGGAAAGATGATAAAGGGTGGATAAAAAAAGAAAAAAGGTAGCTTATGGGTTTTTTTTCAAAGCAAAGTGTTATAAAAGAGCAGAGTAATGGAGAGTAAAAAAAAAGTAAAGAGAGTGGTGAGAGAGTGCAAAAGGAGAGCAGATGATAATGGAGGGCACTGTCAAAAAATTTTTAAAGAAAATAAGAAAAAATTTTGGGGGGTGAGTTAAACAAGTTAAGAAAGCCTGGGAAAATATGGTTGTCAGTTAAAAAAGAGAGGGGGGTTATAGATGGGGATGGAGGTTTGGGTAGATGGCGAGAATATTTTGAGGAACTTTTTAAAAGTTAAGGAAGAAAAAGAGGCGTAATTTCTGCACTGGTCAGGGGGGTATACCCTTTTTAGGGGTGAAGAAAAGCAAATGTAAGTGTGGGGGGGGGGAGTAGGGATTACGTAAAATGAAAGGGGGGTAAAGCAGCTGGGAAATGATGGATATGAAGAAATGTTTAAAAAAGGGGGGGTATAGTGTTGGAGTGGTTGGGACTTTTGTTTAATAAAATTTTGAAAGAGGGGAAAGGGACCTAGGGGTTGGGAGAGGCATGTAAGTCCCTTTTTATAAAGGAAAGGGGACAAAAGAGGGGGTAAAAAATTTTAGAGGAAAAAGCTTTCTGAGTATACCGGAAAAGGTAGGTGGGGTTTTTAATTGAAAGAATTTGAGGGAAACAGAATTAGGTTGCGGATGAGCAAGGGGGGTTTTGATGGGTAGGGGGTGTGTAGATCAGGGGTTTTCATTGAAGCATATTGTTTAACATATTTAGATAAAAATAGGGAAGTTTTTATTGCATTTATGGATTTTTGAAAAGGGGATATATAGAGGGATGAGGGCAAGGGGAGGGGTGTTGCAAATATATGGAATAGGGGGGTAATTTTAAAAGCGTAAAGAGTTTTTTATGAGGTAGTGAGGGTCAGGGTTTGGGTGTGTAAAGAGAGGAGAAACTTCCCGGGAAAAGTGGTTTGGGGGGTAATTTCCCCTGGTTTTTTAATATTTTATAGATGGGGTTGTAAAAGGAAGTAAAAAGCTAGGGTGTTGGGGGGAGGGTGGATTAAATTATGGGGAATCAAATTCAAAAATGGGAATTGACCAGTTATTTTGCTGATATACTGTGGGTTATGGGGGGGATTTTAAAAAAAATTGAAAGGTTTGTGTGAGTTTGGGAATGTGTGTAAGGTAGAAATTGAAAAATGACATAGAAAAAAAGTAAATGATGAGGGTGTCAAAAGATTTTGATAAAGAAAAATTGGATATAAAAATTGGGGGGGAGGATATGGAAGAAGTAAGGGCGTACGGGGGACGTTGGCGGATGGATTTATGAAGGATGAGGTTAATCAAGAATTGTGAGGGAAAAAAAAATGAGTGGTGCGTTTAGGTATATGTGGATCAAAAAAAGTTATCTATGGACAAAAAAGGGAATGAGAAATATGTAGTACCAACACCTTTTAGGGTGTGAAGCTTGGGTGGTAAAAAGCAGCAGGAGGAGAAAGGTTGGAGGGAGGAGATTCCTGTTTAAGGGGAATGTGTGGTGTAAATTTATGCAGAAAAATTTGAGGTGGAAATTAGAGAAGGTTGGGGTAATAAAAGATTAGTCAGAGGGCAGAAAGAGGGGTTGAGGGTGGTTTGGGCATTTTAAGAGAATGGTCACAGTTTGAATGACATGAAAGCATATAAACATAGGGGAAGGGAAACGGGGGGGGAGGGGTCCTCGAAAGGGTTGGGGAAAAGGGGGTAAAAAGGTTTTTTGGGTAAAAGGGGTTTTGGCTTCCAGCAAGCGTGCGTGGCGTGTTAGATAGGAGGAATGGGGAAGAATGGTACTTGGGACCTACATCTGTTGGAGTGTGAGCAGGGTATATTAGGAAGGGGTTCAGGGAAACCGGTTATTTTTATATAGCGGACTTTAGTCCTGGAAAAAAGGGGAAATACAATGCCTGCACTTTAAAGGAGGGGGTTTTGGGATTGGCAGTTTTGGAGGGATATGTTTGTATCTTTTAATTTTATGCTTTTATGTTGTATTCTGAGCACCTCTGCAAAAAAAAGTGAAATGTGCGATGTGGGGAAAGTGTTGAATGATGAGAAAGTATTTTCTTTTTGGGATTTTCTTTCTTTTTTTGTACCCTGCCTCGGTGGGAAGGCCGCTTTTGAAAAAAAAAAAAAAAAAAAAAAAAAAAAATACAAAAACCACCCATTTACCAATTTCAACTATCCAATACTGTGGTCAGAATTTAGCAATTTTGCCAATTTCACACAAATTTCAAAAGATGCCAATCTCCGAATAGGGTCCAGAATAAGCAAGAAAGACATTCCTGGCACTAAAATAACAAGTTCTCTGCTCGTTAGTCACATCACCAGGCCCCTCTTATATTTCTTTGGCTTTCCACTTTGAATTTTTATTCTTACAAAAAAATAAGATTTACTGTTATGCAGACTACTGCATTAGTGTAGAAATGGTATAAATAATATCAGCGCACTTGTGAAAGAATATTAGACTCACCAGTTGATGTGTATTGGACGCTTGGCATGATTTGTTTACTTTTGAACTTTGGTAAAAATCGAACATTTCTGCTACTTTGAGCTCAATTTCAAGGTACTTTTCATTGTAAAACCAGTCAAAATCATCTCAATTTCTGTAATATGTCTTCCATTCTATAAAATGAGACCAAGAAAACTAGAATACAACAATAAATACCATACGAAAATACAGTGCAAAGTCGCTGTTTTAATCCAAAAACACGGTCAAAGTTTTTTTTTCTCATTACGCACTGTGCTGCAGGATTTTTTTTTTATACTGCGCACACTGACCACATAGACCAATTCTTACATATGTAGGCCTACCAGCTTTCTCTCACTAGATTTGAGGGTGCTAGAATTTAGGCGTACTAGTACATCAAAAACCCTGGGTCGTAAGACGTACTAGTATGTCCAAAACCCACAAAGGGTTAAATGATATCCAATCTTGTAAAAAAAAATTAATACACTGACCCTCTCCTACCAAGGCAAGGTTACTATGTACAGTAAGTTGTGAAAATTAATTATTATTATTATTACTTATTCAAGGAAAGTTTCAATATACAACAGTTACTAATGAGAGGAGAGCCAAGGCGAGTATTTACCTGAGAGGTGAGTGATGATGCCGTGCGTCCTGTCCTCTCTGCATCTCTTGTACTCTCCCATCTTATCTCACTCTGAGAGCCTCTTGCTTCCTGTCCTGTCACCCAGAAATTACAATACATAAAAAGTGTCAAAACTTGCCTTCAAGAGTAACCTGCATAATTAATGTATTAGCCATCATTATTTTATATTGTATATCTGTGCATTATATATTGTATGGAATATGGTGACTGCGGTAATGAGCCAACAAGCTGATATAAATACACTTAAAACATGGCAAGCCTTGATTTTAAACAAAGTTTCACAAACAAATGAGTTTTATTATTTCAATGCTTGACCTAGCTTGGTGGCTCACCTGCTTGACCTAGCTTGGTGGCACACCTGCTTGACCTAGCTTGGTGGCTCACCTGCTTGACCTAGCTTGGTGGCACACCTGCTTGACCTAGCTTGGTGGCTCACCTGCTTGACCTAGCTTGGTGGCACACCTGAGGTCAATTTTTCAAACAACTATTATCCATAGTCAAAATTTGATCTGCATTCCGTGCTTTGAAACTTGACTATAACCTAGTCACCGACTGTACTATAATAATCACAGAAATTATATGACATTAAAATGAATAAGCGTACTTCATTTATTTAAATAAAAAAAATTCAGTAGACTTCTATATGAAATGCTAACATGAAAAAATACAAAAAATTCTTCTTCTTTCAATAAACCAGCTTATTGATGAAGATGCCTGGAGCAAGGAGCTAGTAACTCCTTCTCCTGTATATATTACTACACGAGGCCTGGTCACAGACTGGGCCGTGTGGGCGTTGACCCCCGGAACTCTCTCCAGGTAAACTCCAGGTAAAACCTGGAGTATACCTGGAGAGAGTTCTGGGGGTCAATGCCTCGGTAGCCCGGTCTGTAAGGCAGGCAGCAGCAGCGGCAGCAGCGACTTCCAAGCTCCGTACTTTTCTCCAACTACCAGAGCTACCAATGCTCCTATGATGACCTAGTTACAAGCAAAACTGCACTACCCAACGTAGCACCCAGAATGACCAAAGATTACCAACAGTGAAACCTACAAATCGAAAATAATAGAGATCAAAGGAAGACTGCACACAAACCGAAAGCAACACCCCGCTGCCAGCCGAACAACGTAACCCTAAGCTTTGTATACTACAACTTCTTCTTAACTACAACAATTCCTGTAGTATTATGAGGCACATCTAAGAGGAAACAGCACCAAGGCCAGCAAGAAAACACCGAAAAAATCAACTATTCAACAAGTGTAGCCAGGAGGGACGCCGGCCCAGCAACCACCCCACTCACCACCACTCAAGGCGACACCACAACAATAACAACAAACATGGCTGCCACCAGCCCATCCTCCCCTCTTTCCCCGGATTCAACCTACCAAGTAGTCTCTCAGGTATGACCAACGATCCAGATACCCTAAAGACATGCATCTCCAAACTTAGCTATTGAAAATATGAATCTTCGAGAGACGCTAACAAAACAAGACACCAGGATGACACAACTCGAGAACAAATCCTCAGTCTTGAACAAAAGTTAACAACACCAGGAATGACTAACTGTGACAATACCATCCAGACAGTCATAGATAGCCATACCCAACAAATAATATCTCTTAATACAAAGGTTGAAGAAGCAATAAAAGAATGGAAGAACAACTTAGATAACCAGTTTCAGTGACTACTTTGCTCTCCAAGAAGATAAAACTGAACAAGATAAACTATCGGAGCAGAGTAATAGTTAACAGTCCACTTTTTCCCAGTGATATGAACCAAACAAACAGTAAAGAAATTACTCTGCAGATCATAAAGGACCAAACAAGTGTTATTGTACCAGAGTCTGAAATAAAAGAAGCCAGGTTACTAGGATCCCATGGTTTAGAAAAAGTGTTATGCTTAGATTCCACTCACATGACAGGAAAAAAGACTTAATTATTGCATCTATTAAAGTAAAGAAAGAGGTATACATAAACGAGTGTCTTACCAAAAAAAGTCTAGAACCTCCTGTATAGAGTCAGAAAACTTAAGCGGGAGAATAATGACACAATACACCAATGCTTCACACGGGATGGGAAAATTCTAGTTAGGAAAACAAATGTAGGTCAACTGTACACAATCACGAACGAGAATGATCTATCACGATTTCTCAGGGATACTAATCTTACAGAGAATAACTAAACAATGTCCAACTTAAAAGTCTACGTAGTGTAGTGTATGTTTTGCTCCATTATTGTTCAAATTTCATTGTACAATCTCTTAGTAATTAAATAATCAACTACCTCATTTTGTGATTTTACTAGTAAGCATAAGTCACCTTATGTGATTTTGTTATTTACTATTGTTCGCTTAAACATTAGCTGAATTGATACTTTCTCTGTCCATATTACTACCTCATATTTTTTTAAATACTATCAATTGATATTACTTACTAAAATTAATAATACTATCAATTGATATTACTTACTAAAATTAATAATACTATCAATTGATATTACTTACTAAAATTAATAATTATAATTTTTACTAAAATTTCAATTTACTCTTAACATTTTTGACATTTAATAACCATTACTTGTCTAATTACCTTTACCTGTTTTAATACCACATTTACTATCTTAGAGTACTCTTAATTACCTTGTACTGCCATATAACCTCAAGTATAACTACCAGTGCAATATTGAATGAAATAAACATTACTTTTTCACTTTTTTTGTAATCATTATTACTTACTAAAATTTTATTAAACACCATATTTACTACCAGTCAATTTTACTTTTGTACATTAAACATTATCTTATACTTCCCCATAACATTTTGTTGCCAAATTTTCAAGTTTGTATATTCAACCCCAACCTTTATATTATCCTTTGTACCTGTGTACCTGTCTACCATCTTACTATCATATTATAACCAAGACATTACCATTGTTATTTTTTTACTATTATTCTTTTGGTACTTTAATTGTGAATTTTATTTTGTCAATTTAAATCTAGTTATAATCTTGATCTTGTCAACAACCTATACCAGACTCTAGTGCAATTGCAAGTACCATTTCAAATTGTATTTTTATATTATAAGTTTATATTATATTCTACCATCTGTCCATTTAACTTTGTTTACCATTACTTAATTTTAGTCCCTTATATATTTTCTCCTTTATTTTAGCTTTATATAACTACCCTAGTTTATATATTCACAATTGTTAAAATAATCAAGGTGCTATTCTCAGGTGCTAAAGTAGAATAAGTTCACAATTTTGCCATTATATTCCAAAGCTCATTTATTTGATTACCACTTTATTGTTCACCACAACCTATATTAGTCCCTTTTATATTATAATTTTGTACTATAATTCTAACTTTAAAAAATTACCTTTATAGTACTACCTACTATCATATTCCCAAGCTCCATTATTTGATCATCACTTTATTTGTATTAGTCCCTTTTATATTGTCTCCTTTATTTTAGCTTAAAAAAAAAAAAAACTACCTTAGCTCATTATTTTTACATTTGTTAAATAATTCAGGTGCTATTTTTTAGCTTAAGACTATTTACTTTGTTTTATACTTAATTCTAACTATAGATCACTACAAATCTTATGATTACAAGCATTGATCCTGATCCAACTCTTATTTAATGACTTAAATGAATCAAACAGTTACTGTATTACTACACTGCAGAACAATCAAAGGCACTTCTCAGTGCCAACAACAACATAACTATCTTTAACTACAATATCAGATCTTTAAGCAAGCATTACGATGACCTCATAGCATTACTAAATTTCTTACATGCCAATATGTCCATCATTACACTAACTGAAACCTGGCTAAAGCTGATAGTACAGATGTCTATGCCATTCCTGGTTACACAGCCATATACAACTGTAGGCCAGACCAACAAGGGGGTGGCACAGCCATATACTACTCAGACCAACTAGAATGTATCACTAATACTTGCACAAGGGATGAACATGGGGAATATATAATAGCTAAATTCAAATCAAATACCTACAAAAACCTCTCACATTGATAAACATCTACAGAGTTCCACAGTCAAACATTAGCCAATTTAGTCAAAACCTAGGAAGTATGATAACTGATGCACGCATGAACAAAGATCACTTACTACTCTCAGGTGACTTCAATATAAATCTCCTGCAAGACCAGGACCCACACGTTACTGAATTCACAAACACAATGAGTAACTGTATGTTACTACCAACAGTAACAAACCTACAAGAGTTACAGAGACTAGTGTTTCCCTACTTGACCACATCTGGACCAACACCATATCCCTTTAAAATCAGGCATAATTACAGATAATACCACAGACCATACACTACTTTCCTCATAACAACTCTTGGTAAACTACCCCAAGACACTACTAAAGTCACCTTCAGACTTCACAATGAGGCAGCCATTAATAACTTCACAACAGCAGTAGCAAACACTGATTGGCACACTGAGCTAGAAATCTATACAGATATTGACGAATGTATTAATAATTTTCTAAAAAAGACCCAATACCTCTATAACAAGCACTGCCCAAAAAAAACTAAACAGATGACAGCTAAGAGACTGAACAGTTGTTGGCTAACACCCAGCATTCTCAAATCCATAAATACAAAACACCAATATCAAAAACAGTACAGAATGGGTCACATAACCAGAGACCAAACAAAACGTTACTCGTCAATCCTAACCAGCCTGATAAGAAGGGCAAAAAAATTGTATTATGAGAACAGATTATCCAACTTACGAGGTGATATAAAAAAGACCTGGAAAACCCTATCAGAAATTCTGGGAACAAAAAAGATATCACGAAATAGCGAAATAAAATTAGCAAAATCAGATGAACCCAACTCCCACCAACAGAAACAGCAAACAGACTCAATGATTTTTTCTCCACTATAGGACAAAACCTTGCCAATAAATCCCAAGCTCAGATACCCCACCAAATGACTACCTCACCGGCAAACTACCCGAACACACTGTTCCTAGCTCCGACTAACCCATACGAAGTCTCCCTTATTATCAACGCACTAAAAAACAAGGCAGGAGATTTAAATACCTTACCACCTTTTATATACAAAAAAGTGTCACAAGTGCTATCACCAATCATTGCAACACTCTTTAACAAATCCATTGAATCCTCCACCTTCCCTACAGTACTCAAAATAGCAAGGGTCACCCTGATCCACAAAGGAGGAGACCAAACAGAGTTGAATAACTATAGGCCAATATCTAACTTACACCCTCTCTCAAAAATCTTCGAAAAATTAATTCATAAACGAATCTACTCATACCTTATCTCCCAAAACATACTCAACCCCTGCCAATTTGGATTCAGGCCTAATAAAAATACTAATGATGCTATTATACACATGCTAGAACATATATACACTGCAATAGAGAAAAAAGAAGTCCCACTGGGGATCTTCATTGACTTACGTAAAGCTTTTGATACAGTTGACCATGACTTGCTCCACGTAAAATTGTCACACTATGGTATAAGAGGGCACTCCCTCAACTACCTCAAGTCATACCTCAGCAACAGAAGCCAATATGTGTACGCAAATGGGGCAAACTCTTCTGCACAACCAATTACAGTTGGTGTCCCACAGGGAAGTGTCCTTGGCCCTCTTCTCTTTCTCCTATACATAAATGACCTTCCAAATGCTTCGCAATTACTCAAACCCACACTATTTGCAGATGACACTACATACGTCTTCTCTCACCCGAGCCCAGTCACGCTAGCCAATACTGTAAATACCAAATTACAGAAAATATCTACCTGGATGAGGACTAACAAACTTACACTAAACATTGACAAAACCTACTTCATTCAGTTTGGTAACAGAGCTACAGATGTCCCTCTTAACATAATGATAAACGGATCACCTATCACAAAGCTAACAGAGGGAAAAAACTTAGGAATCCCCCTTGATAATAGACTCAAATTTCATACACATATACAACAAATTTCTAAGAAAATTTCCAAGACTGTAGGCATATTATCGAAGATACAGTACTATGTTCCACAGTCAGCCCTCCTGGCCTATATCACTCTCTTATTTACCCCTATCTCACCTATGGAATTTGTGTATGGGGCTCAACAACAATTAACCATCTCAGGACCACTAATTACCCAACAAAAGGCTGCAGTTAGAATGATAACAAATTCTCACTACAGGCAGCACACTCCACCAATATTCAATACCTAAACCTACTCACCATACAAAACATCCATACTTATTACTGCACCTATTACATACATAGAACACTTAACTCTGATATTAACCCTCCCCTCAAACATCTCCTTGCCAACCTCAACAGAGCACATGACCATAACACAAGGCACAGATCACTCTTTGATGTTCCTCGTGTCCATCTCACACTATGCAAAAACTCAATGCACATAAAAGGCCCTAAAATCTGGAATTCATTACCTGTAAATATAAAAGAAACACTACCTGTTTATAAATTCAAGTCTCTTCTCAAAGATCACTTACTCACCCAAAACCAAATAAATACTGAATAACTGAACCTTATAAATTGTATATATTAAATGTTTCTCACAATTATATCACATAAATGTTAAACCTAAAACCCAATCTAACTTTATTATTTTTTAAATACACTATCTAACAGAATACTCCATATGACTGAATGTACAACAATGCATGCAACCATATGACCTGTCTTTGTAATACTCATTTGTGCTTTATAGTTATCTGTTTACAATAATGTATTATCACTGATTTCATCATTGCTTAGTTAATTTTAAGCCAGCCCGTAATGCTATGCATAGTATAAGTGGCTTTGGCATGCTGCTCTTATCTGTATTTTTTTGTACCTCTGTATGTATGCTCAAATTGTTGTTAAATAAATAAATAAATGGTGGAACAGGGCCTGATCAACAGGCTGTTATTGCTGGCCGCACGTAATCCAACGTATGAACCACAAACCGGCTGGTCTGGTACTGACTCTAGGTGCCTGTCCAGCGCCTGCTTGAAGACAGCCAGGGGTCTATTTTTAATCCCCCTGATGTATGCTGGGAGGCAGCTGAACAGTCTTGGGTCCCTGACACTTATTGTGTTGTCACTTATCGTGCTAGTGGCACCCCTGCTTTTCATTGGCAGGATGTTGCACCATCTGCTGAGTCTTTTGCTTTTGTAGGGAGTGATTTTCGTGTGCAAATTTGGTACTAGTCCCTCTACAATTTTCCAGGTGTATATAATCATGTATCTCTCCCTCCTGCATTCTAGGGAACGCAGGTTTATTAACTTCAAGCGTTCCCAGTAGTTGAGGTGGTTTATCACAGTTATGCGTGCAGTGAAGGTTCTCTGTACGAATTTCTAGGTCAGCAATTTCATTTTCATTTTTCTTTTTGGGCCACCCTGCCTCAGTGGGATACAGCCGGTTTGTTGAAAGAAAAAGAAACTTTTGTTTTTCTTTTTGGGCCACCCTGCCTTAAAATTATAATAACTCCAACCAACTGTAACTCAGGGACCCCTGTACTTCATTCTCAGATTAGCAAAAAACAGCATCCAATATGTTACACTGCTATGATAGCCAAAGAAGTTACACAGAATGAACTACCACAGAAAGAAGTTACACAGAATGAACTACCACAGATAGTCAAACAACATATTTAATTCTCTCAAAAATAACTTTTGGTCGTTTGCCTATGTAAGGTGAATTTGAAAACTACACAACGAATCAAAATGAAAAAGTTTTAAAGGACAAAAAGGCTTTGGTTTAAATACAATTACCAACAGTGATAAGAGTAAAAAATGTCGTCCCGAAAGAATGTCACTAGTGTAGTCCCCAAAAAAACAATATGGGCTCCAATAATTTTAAACTTTACATACCTGTATCTTCAAAACATTGTATGAAAGCTTGGTAGGCAAATTCCTAATAAGTAGGTAGGTGGGTGTAGGTAGGTAGGTGTAGGAATGAAGGTAGGTAGGTAGGTACATGTAGGAACATAGGTAGGTGTAGGAAAGTAGGTAGGTGTAGGAAAGTAGGTAGGTGTATGTAGGTAGGGGTGGACATGCGTGTGGGCAAGCATACATCTAAGTTACAGTATCTGTTAATCAGTCAGACATTAAACAAACATTTAGATACTGATAAAGCTAATTTATAAAGGATGGAAAAGTCAATACCCTCCCACACCTACTTAATTACACTCAAGATTTTGGTGTAAGAGGACACGTCCATGCAACAGAAGCATAATACAAGGTTTCCAAATACTTTTCATCAGACTGAAGTCTGGGGAGTTTCCAGGCCAGACATTAAAACACTGAAAAGTCACAATAATTTTGCTAATTCTTCATATCTTTGGCAGTATGGCAAGGGACATCATCTTTCATATAAAAGATGCCCTAGCACCTCTCAAATTTGTCAGGCAAAACGTCTGTTAAGAGAGTAGTACTTATAGGCATGCATATTTATAACATCTAATGTACATTCCAGTAAGAGTTATGGAGGAACTAGGCAAGTGACAATGGTGAATATTATATATATCTCTTTATGGTGAATCTGGATTGTCATACCATCTTTGTCAGAACGATTAATTTTGATAAGAAGGGTGTCCTCGTCCTCTTGAAGAGTTGGTTGGGCTTGTGCAGCAGATGGTCTCCTAGGCTGCTTTGGTCCACCTCGTTCTTCTTTACCTCCCACTGTCACCAAAGATTCCTCTGACATATGAAATATATTACTATCCTGCAAGACAAGATATGATCTCTATTAAGTACATTCACAATTACACCAAATTATTTTAGTTCTCCTATAATGTACACAAGAGAAATTAAACAAAGACACTAGAAGGCATAAAATACTAAATACAGTGGACCCCCGGCTTACGATATTATTTCATTCCAGAAGTATGTTCAGGTGCCATTACTGAACGAATTTGTTCCCATAAGGAATATTGTGAATTAGATTAGTCCATTTCAGACCCCCAAACATACACGTACAAACGCACTTACATAAATACACTTACATAATTGGTCGCATTGGGAGCTGATCGTAAAGCGGGGGTCCACTGTATTTAAAAAAGGAAGTTCAGAGAACACTCCACACATTTTTTTTTTTTTCAACAAACCGGCCGTATCCCACCAAGGCAGGGTGGCCCAAAAAGAAAAACGAAAGTTTTTCTTTTTAAATTTAGTAATTTGTACAGGAGAAGAGTTACTAGCCCCTTGCTCCCGGCATTGTAGTCGCCTCTTACAACACACATGGCTTATGGAGGAAGAATTCTGTTCCACTTCCCCAGGGAGAACTCCACGCATTATGAATTCTTAAAAGGCAGTGTAATCAGGTACTGTGAAGAGGAGGGAGTATGCAGTAGCGGCCCTACACTAGCTACCACCAACTTGCCCTCTACACAAACTGCAATAAGAGATCTATGCAATATTTTTGGTAAGCTGGGAAATGTACTGACTCCTTTCTTTCCATTTAATGTTTGTAAGCATGTTTTATTAAAATGGTGGCTTAATTACCAGCATCTGGGTTGTCTGTCTGTTCATCTGTCTAACCACATTTTCTAAGACTAGTTAAAACAAAACCAAAATTTTAAGAATATATTTTTGTACAACTTTCATATATTTCATTTTAATTTTAAATAAAAATGTATTAAAACCAGCACTCGTAATGTTTATCATGACAACTCCAAAATCATCCATTATGCTATCCTGTTTTAACTGTCATTACCACCACATTTAATTTAAAAAAGAAATAAGAAAACTTATCAAAAATAGTATAATATTACTTGTCAAAACTATTATAAAATATTACAGAAGACAAGCACTGTGTGCTCTTAAAACACAACTTTCTTTCTTCATGTTTTGAATATTTTATCAATAGTTCTTTTGATCTAGTTTTCCATTTTTTTGTGCTCTGCTGCTGAAGGGCATTAGTTTATTTGAATTTACATACTTACATGCTGAGCGTGTTTTTATGGATGAATGGAACAATGGTTTTTAATCTTTACGTGCTGGATGTGTGAGCAAAGTAACATTTATGAAGGGGTTCAGGGAAACCGGCAGGCCGGACTTGAGTCCTGGAGATGGGAAGTACAATGCCTGCACTCTGAAGGAGGGGTGTTAATGTTGCAGTTTAAAAACTGTAGTGTAAAGCACCCTTCTGGCAAGACAGTGATGGAGTGAATGATGGTGAAAGTTTTTCTTTTTCGGGCCACCCTGCCTTGGTGGGAATCGGCCAGTGTGATAATAATAATAAAACATACTTTTTCCATGTTAATTTTTTAAACTTGTTATTTTTCCTAACATATGGTGGCCCATTAAAGATGGTTCCCTAGGCAACCACCTCATTTCCATATGGACATGCTATCCCTGTGATGTAATACATTTTTTTTTCATTTTTTAATGAATAATCTTCTTGTAACTTGTATCTTTCACTATTTTCTTTAGCTTCCTCTCAATACACTGTACTAGACCCCACTAACATAAACACTACACAGTCTTACTTCTAGTCTATGTTTGCCTAAGTTGCTATGCGTATTGTGCTTTCAAACTGTCTATTTTTGAACAATGATATTATTATTATTATTATTATTATTATTATATTATTATTATGAGTGTATGCCTGAATATCACAAAAACTGGCACATGTGGCCTGTGGCTCCCTAAAACAAACAGGTCCTGGATACCTGGTATACCTGGAGGGTATTCCAAGGGTCAATGCCCCAGCAGATGTGGCCAGTATGGCACATACTGGACAAATGTCCAAATTAACGGACTTGGCCTGATACTTCAGCAGACACTCAGACATTCGCTATGGACAAAATGCAGAATTACAAACATATGACTATTTTGTCCAATTATTAGTTTTCGTCCAACCATTTTTTTGTCTAAAATTGCCAAAATCTGTTAATGAGATGTTTACTGTGAAGATGCTCCTCACTTTACGATGATTCAACTTGCAATATTTCAACTTTATGATGGTGCAATAGCAAAGCACATCCAGTGCTATGCAGTACTGTACATTCACTGATAAGATTAACTTGTATTCATCTGTATATTTACTTTTCAATACTGGTATTTAGTTACAGTAATTATTTCTTTATTTACTTATTCTGTGACAGTAGTTATTTACTTATTTATTTATCACATCATATTCGACTTACAGTGGATTCACTGAAATGTAACCCCATCGTAAGTGGAGGAGCATCATATAAAACCTCTGTGATTGCATCCAATCTTTGGTGCATGCACCCAAAGACCATACACAATGGTTTTTAAACATTCATAAAACAAAATTTAAACAAATCATTTAAAGTTGTCAAGAAATAGGACAAGTGTCTCCTGGTGCAGGTCTTAGTCATATGATAACCCACAGCTGGAGCTTTTAGTTATCTGACCAAGGCCTTCCACTGGCTTACCCCTCTATCTATGGTAACCATTTTATTTTTTTAACCTTATGAACCTAGCTCACAATAGCAGAATATCTGCATGTCTTTGAAGCATTGCTTTAACTGTGCTTAAATTCATTTTCATAAAAGGGTAAACCAGAGAAAAAATTTGAGGTGTGAAAAATTTCTGATTTTTGCTTCTCAATTTTTAGATGCTGCAGTTTGGAGGGTCACCTTAATTGTGATGTTGGCACCCTTCTGGCAAGACAGTGGTTGAATGAATGACAGTGACAGTGTTTTTTTTTCTTTGTCAAGTCACCTTACGTGGTGGGAGACAGCTAGAATGTTAAGAAAATTTTCTTTATAGTGTGCAAGTTTGGTACTAGTCCCTCTAGGGTTTTCCAGGTGTATATAATCATGTATCTCTCCTCCCTGGAATACAGGCGGGAGAGATACATGATTATATACGCCTGGAAAATCCTAGAGGGCTAGTACCAAACTTGCACACGAAAATTACTCTCTACGAAAGCAAAAGACTCGGCGGACAATGCAAGATCCCCCCAATGAAAAGCAGGGGTGTCACTAGCATGTTAAGAGACAACACAGTAAGTGTCAGGGTCCCAAGACTGTTCAACTGCCTCCCAGCATACATAAGGGGGATTACCAATAGACCCCTGGCTGTCTTTAAGTAGGCATTGGACAAGCACCTAAAGTCGGTACCTGACCAGCCGGGCTGTGGCTCGTACGTTGGATTGCATGCAGCCAGTAGTAACAACCTGGTTGATCAGGCCCTGATCCACCATGAGGCCTGGTCACAGACCGGGCCGCGGGGGCGTTGACCCCCGGAACTCTCTCCAGGTAAACTCTGCAGTTTTAGGTTCATTAAAAGTGACAAATGTGCTAAGAACTACATTCCCTTATTCTATTCTCTATTACCTAGTACAGATATTTGTCTTTTGTTTTGTAAGTAAGAAGAATACATGCATGGAGGTGCAGGTGTTTTATTAACTAAGAAGCATACCTGCATGGAGATATGTACTGGTATTTATGCAACTAAGAAGAGTACCTGCATAGAGGTGCTGGTATTTATGGAACTTAGAAGAGTACCTGCATGGAGACACTGGTATTTTGCCTCTTGAAGTTGGTGCTGGGTGATCCACCAGAGGTGCGTGAAACTGATCTATTGAGCCCCTTGTGTTGGCTCTTCCTGACTGACGATGGACTGCCTGCACAAGATGAAGTTGTAAATATGGTGAGTAAAGAGAATGTCATTATTTACACTATGCTGACTGTAGACACAATACATTTAGTGCAAATATGATGACTAGTTTTCAGTTCTATAGTGATTTACAATGGGAATCAAAAACACAATGAAGTCAACCTGTGACAAGTGATTATTTATAATTTTTCCAAAAACAAGAGAGAATAAGCCAGAGATTACCTTTTAATATTAATATACTGACTACCAATTAAATGTTTTATTAATAATATTTTGATTAAAATGATTTATTAGTTCCACATTTTTACTATTACAAAAGTATTTACAAGGTAATGACAGGCACAGTATGAATTTGTTAGGTTGAAAGACTCTTGCTAAGAGTGTCCTAAGCAAACACAGACTTGGACCATTCTGCATCACAAACAGTAAGGCTAAAAATATACTATACATAAACTGACATTACCTTGAATTACTACATGTAAGAATCTTGTGACACACCAACAATAAGATACAGTGTTAAACCAAAGTATTATTTTACCACATGCATGAAATTCGCAAGCTTAAGAATATTAAAATTATCAAACCTGGTGTTTCTTTTGGCACGCACTACCTGCTGACAGTAAGCCTCTCCCAAGAGAGTATTATAATGGTGATGCAGCTCTGAATGACCCTTATGGGTTTAGCCCTTAGTTATGATTACAATAATAATAATATAATGATGAACCTGATCATATAGTCACATGAGGCACTGAGAAAAAAAAAATGACGAACTCACTACTGAGTGAAAAGTGCAGTGTGTGAAAATAGTGTTTCGTACAAAATTATTTATAAGTCTTTAAAATGAGCTAATTTTGATCAAAACTATATGATTGGTTACTGAGATATTGTTGTAAACATATTGGAAAACTCTGTAGGTGACCTCAAAAGTGACAATTTGCAAGCTCATCATTTTTCTATGTTGCAAAGGTTTGGAGGAGATTTTCACAAAAGTGACATTGTGTTTTCAATGCCTCATATACAAGATAAAGGATGTGTGATGCCTGTATTGTCACTCTAAACTTTAACAAGTTTATTCAAAGCAACTCATTTTCAATATGAAGGTAAGTAAGTCGAACATGCATAAGTGTTTTCATCTTACAATCACAGCGGGAAAAACAGAAATTTAACAAAACCATAAGTAATCGGTGTACCAGGGATACCTATTATCAATGTATGATGACATTTCAAATTTTGGAGTGAGACTTGGTGTGAAAGTTCTCGCTTCACACGCTGAGGGTCCGGGTTCAGTTCCCGGCAAGAGTGAAAACATTGGGCGTGTTTCCTTATACTGGCTGTCCATGTTCACCCATCAGTAAATATGGATACCTGGGTGTTAGTTGACTGGTTTGGGTTGCGTCCTGGGATAGAACTGACCTAATTTGCCAGAAATGCTCTGCATAACAAGCGGCTTTCTATATAGTAGTATGTCATTGATGTCAGCTAGGCCTGTATACCTTGTGCATGTACTTGTAGAAATAAAGATATTATTAAGGTAGTAGTGTTGGGTAAGATGTTACAGTGGTGTCAGTGTGGTGATACTCACCACTGATGCTGGGTATGATGTTACAGTGTGGTGATACTCATCACTGGTGCTGGGTAAGATGTTACAGTGGTGTCAGTGTGATGATACTCACCACTGGTGCTTTGTAAGTTATTACAGCAGTGCTGGTGTGGTGATACTCACCAGTGGTGCTAGGTAAGAGGCGGTTTTGCATGATGGACATAAAGGAACTCTTCCTGGCAGACGGTGCTGAAGATACCACTGAGCGTGCTGACCCTCGCCTCTTGAAGATCAACCCAGAGCTGGTCTTCTCATCATCCTTAACAACAATAATGTGATAATATAGAACGATATTAAATAACAGTTAAACACACACCATCAGCATTAATATCTATCTATCTTTCTATGTATCTATCTATCTCTCACACACACATATGCACACACACACACTGATGCCTAGTCAAAGAAATAAGTACCTTCAAAAAACAAGTACCATAAATTACAATTTAAGGCTGTTCAGTAGTAGTATGAGGACAATAATATAGAAAAAACTCAAATGAAATAATGACTTGAAACAAGAGGACAAGCAGCACCAGCCAGGCCATCTATCATGTAGGAGGAGCCACATGTCTATGGTGCATCCAATAAAATAAGCAGACTTTTGGATGTCAATACTGCTTGGCTTTGACTGGGCTGCAGACTCCTAAGTTCTGCTGCACCATCTTATATATACCTCATGAAATGTATATATAAGAGCATAAGAAAGAAGGAGCATTGCTGCAGGCCTACAGGAACATGCACTGTAAATGGTATAAAATGCCAACAATAACAAATAACAAAAAAAAGGCACAATACCGTGACTGGAACGATACACAAATAACCCACACATAAAAGAGAGAAGCTTACGACGACGTAAATGGTCCAAGTCAGACCGAAACGTCGTCGTAAGCTTCTCTTTTTTTATGTGCGGGTTATTTGTGTATAATGCCAACATGTTGAAGATTAAGACACGTGTGAAACAGCTGGATAACTTTACTGCTGAAATGTTTCGCTTACACAGTAGGCTTCTTCAGTCAAATACAGAGGAAGTAGTAGAAATGAAATAAAGATGATGTAATCAGTCCATCAACCTTGGAGAAAAAGAAGTTAAGGTGGTCAGTCCCTCAGCCTGAAGAAGAATTCAGCCTAGATCTGAACTCTCCTCCAGGCTGAGGGACTGACCACCTCAAATATTTCTTCTGCAAGAGTGATGGATTGATTACATCTTTATTTCATTACTGCTACTACTACTACTGTCTTTGTATTTGACTGAAGAAGGTTACTGTGTAGGTGAAATATTTCATCAATAAAGATACCCAAATGTTGCATGTGTGTCTTAATCATCTGCTGGCCCATGTTAGGCAGGTCCACCTCACACCCATCCACACCCACTCAACTAACTGTCTAACTTATTTTTAAAGCTACACAAGATTTTAGCTTCAATGACATTACTAAGGAGTTTGCTCCACTCGTCCACAACTCTATTGCCAATCCAGTGCTTTCTTATATACTTTCTAAATCTAAATTTCTCTAACTTGAACCCAATGCTGTGAGTCATACATTGGTTAGGTATTTTTAGCATGTTATTTACATCCCCCAGAGGAAGTATTGTCACACATCACATCAAGTGCTCCAGTAAAAAAAAAAAAAATGAACTCAGAAATGATTCACTCATGAATGCTCAAGGAAAAAGCAAACTATTTTATTCACAACAGCATATTATTAAAAATTCTGAAAAGAAAAGACACCCCTAACTCTACTAGTCATAAATAACCCACAACCACTTACTTGCCTACAACCTATAACTCGCAAGATATTAAATACAGTAATTAACCTTTAATCCCACAAGCTACAACGCAATGCTTCTGTGACTGAATTCATGACCGAGCAAACAAACTCATTGCTATTGTTACTAAGTCAATAAATCTATTAAGAAATTTGTTACTACTGTAACCTGTTTATCTAAGAAAATGCTGGTGCCCAATCTCCTGGAACTAATATGTGCCCTTGAAATCTTTTGACTCCTGCCCACAAGATGGGTACTGGAGTACATAATAAAACATCATCTCTAATTCACACCATAACTACACACACTACAACTGCACTACACATGCTACAACTAACACTATACACACCACAACACAACACACACACCACAACTAACATTACATACACCACAACTAACACTACACACACCACAACTACAGGTCAGCCACACTAATCCAGTAATCAGTTCCATCAGTAATCTGGCACTAATTTCGGCTAGCATAATTTCAAATTTCATCATTATACTGACTCAGAAATTGTGCAGATGGTAGTAAATCCACAGCAGCAAGCCAGTGGAAGAGAAAGCAGTGATGAAAATGAGGAAGATGTAGCAAAAAAGTCTCGCTAATCTGGCACAATACAGGTCCCAGTGATGCCGGATTAGTGATGGCCGACCTGCAACACTACACACACCACAACTAACATTACACACACCACAACTAACACTACACACACACCATATTGTGACCCCTGAATGGGTCACAATGTATATAATGTATATTACCCGTTCATATAATTTTATACAGTGGACCCCCGCATAACGATATTAATCCGTGCATGAGAGCTCATTGTTATGCGAAATTATCATTATGCGGATGAATTTTCCCCATAAGAAATAATGGAAATCAAATTAATCCGTGCAAGACACCCCAAAGTATGAAAAAAAAATATTTTTACCACATGAAATATTAATTTTAATACACACAAACTGAAAAAGGCATGCACAATTACATGACACTTACCTTTATTGAAGATCTGGTGATGATTGATGGGATGGGAGGAGGAGAGAGTCTTAATGTTTAGAAGGGGAATTCCCTTCCATTAAGACTTGAGGTGTCAAGTCCTTTTCTGGGGTTACTTCCCTTCTTCTTTTAATGCCACTAGGACCAGCTTCAGAGTCACTGGACTTCTGTCGCACAACATATCTGTCCATAGCGGCCTGTACCTCTCGTTCCTTTATGACTTCCCTAAAGTGTTTCACAACATTGTCAGTGTAATAGTCACCAGCACGGCTTGCAATAGCTGTGTGAGGGTGATTTTCATCCAAAAAAGGTTTGCACTTTCAGCCACATTGCACAGATTTCCTTAATCTTTGTAGTAGACAACTTCTTCAATTTCTCTCTCTCCTCCTCCGAACCAGTTTCCTCAGGTCTGGCCTCTTGCTCTTGAAGTTGATCTATCAGCTCATCAGTGGTTAGTTCTTCATTGTCCTCCTCCACCAACTCTTCCACATCATCCCCACTAACCTCCAACCCCAAGGACTTCCCCAATGCCACAATTGATTTCTCAACTGGCATACTCCTCTCAGGGTTAGCCTCAAATCCTTCAAAATCCCTTTTGTCTACACATTCTGGCCACAGTTTCTTCCAAGCGGAGTTCAAGGTCCTCTTAGTCACTCCCTCCCAAGCCTTACCTATAAGGTTTACACAATTGAGGATATTAAAGTGATCTCTCCAAAACTCTCTTAGAGTCAGTTGAGTTTCTGAGGTCACTACAAAGCACCTTTCAAACAGAGCTTTTGTGTACAGTTTTTTGAAGTTTGCAATAACCTGCTGGTCCATGGTCCATAGGCCGTATAATTCACTCTGAGGAGGATATCAATGAACTCCAGGACGATTTGGATAAATTAATGTCTTGGTCTGAAAAATGGCAGATGAAGTTCAATGTGGATAAGTGTAAGGTACTTGCCCTTGGTAATGATAATAACCCTCGAAGCTATAATCTAGGTGAAGTAGAGCTTCATCATACAGAATGTGAAAAAGACTTGGGAGTCATGGTAAGCAGAAATCTAAAGCCAAGACAGCAGTGCCTTAGTGTGCGCAACAAGGCCAACAGATTACTTGGATTTATCTCAAGAAGTATAAGTAACAGAAGTCCAAAAGTTATTTTGCAGCTCTATACATCACTAGTGAGGCCTCATTTAGATTATGCTGCTCAGTTTTGGTCTCCTTACTACAGGATGGATATAGACTCATTAGAGAGCATACAGAGAAGAATGACTAAAATGATTTACTGTGTAAGGAACCTCCCGTATGAAGATAGACTTAAAGCCTTAAATCTCCACTCTCTGGAGAGGCGTAGAACGAGAGGAGATATCATTGAAGTGTATAAGTGGATGACAGGCATAAACAAGGGAGATATTAATAAAGTACTGAGGGTGTCGAACCAGGTAAGAACCAGAAATAATGGATATAAGTTGGATAAATTTAGATTTAGAAAGGACATAGGTAAGTACTGGTTTTCTAACAGAGTTGTAGATGCGTGGAACAGTCTTCCTAGTGGGGTGATAGAGGCTAGGACCTTGTGTAGCTTTAAGAAGAGACTGGATAAATATATGAGTGGGAGGGGCTGGGTTTGATTGGTGTCATTGGGTATGGGAGTTATTTCTTGGGTGGCTTTAGGTAGAGATCGTTTTGATAAGGACCTGCCTCGTATGGGCCAGTAGGCCTTCTGCAGTGTTCCTACATTCTTATGTTCTTATGTTCTTATGTTCTTATTAGGAGGCAAAAACTTCACCTTAATGAACTTCATGTCTCCATAAAGTCGCTCTGCCACGTCTGTAGGATGACCAGGGGCATTGTCTAACACCAGGAGGCACTAAAGGTCTAATTTATTTTCAGTTAGGTAATCTTTCACAATGGGGGTAAATGCATGGTGTAACCAGTCATAGAAAAAGTCCCTAGTGACCCATGCCTTACTGTTTGCCCTCCACAGCACACACAAATTAGCCTTGAGGATATTCTTTTGTCTGAACGCTCTGAGAGTTTCTGAGTGATACACTAATAAAGGCTTCACTTTGCAATCACCAGTAGCATTGGAACACATCAACAGAGTAAGCCTGTCTTTCATAGGCTTATGTCCTGGGGGGTGCCTTTTCCTCCTCAGTAATGTAGGTCCTGCTTGGCATTTTTCTTCCAAAACAGGCCTGTTTCATCAAAATTTAAAACACTTGTTCAGGTTTCAGTCCTTCACTTTCTATGTACTCCTTGAATTTCCCCTGCACATGTTTTTCAGCTGCTTTGTGGTCCGAACTGGAAAGCCTCACCATGCCTTTTTCACACTATGTATGCCACTAGCTTCTTAAATCTCTCAAACCAACCTTTGCTGGCTTTAAATTCACTCACATCATTTACTAGTTGCAGGCAATTTTTTTAATTAAATCCTGATGCAACTTCCTAGCCTTTTCACTTATGATCACTTGAGAGATGCTATCTCCTGCTATCTGTTTTTTTA